CACTCCAACAACTTGTTTTTACACAACCGCAACCCAAAATGTCATCTACTACATATAAAGTTTTGGTTTGGTTATGAAAATTTTCTGCATAATGATTTGAAATTTATCTTCAAGGGCTTGTTGAATGTTTGTGGGAAACTGATAAGATGTTAATAATGTACAGGATGACCACTAATGATTTACTGAATTACGTACAGTTGCTGTTGATAATGATTCTGGGAATGATGGAGGCAGTACAACTGGTGAGTGGATCAGAAGCGGTGAATTGAGATTATAACGTGATGTTTTTCGACTACTTGGTTGACTGGAGTATACAATAGCGTATATAGATCCTTTCTGAAGTGTTTCAGACTGTGGTGAATCTAGCGCCATTATTACTTGGATGCGCCTCACTGAAACATTCGTATCAATTAATTATCCCTCTGTTAACAAATATTTCAATTTTTTTTTCTTTTTTAGAATTAGAAATATCACATATTTATAGATTATTTTATAAAGGAGCAAAATAAAGTTGTTTTGTATGGAATTTTGTACAGTTAAATTCAGCTTACCCTTTGTTACACTGTTTATAATTAGTTAGTTGTTCATAATTTTTGTTAAAAGCACTACGGAAAACTAACATTGTGCTTCGAGACCTGGTACGATTTTCATTTTGTCAAGCGCAGTTGGAAAGCGTCGGAAATAAAGAAATGCATGACAACAGGCACACATTTGTAGTGGTAGAAAGGATAATGAAGTAAAGAAGAATGAATACCCTAGAAATGGTACAGTAAGCGTTTAGATCTCTTGAATTTTTGATTACTCAAATATAAGTACAAAAGTGTTAAAATATGTGCATACCTCCTCAACTTACAATAGATACTTTAAAAAAATAATGGACAGAAAGTAAACATGGGCAAAAACAAGTTACCGTATACAAAACTAAATTTAGATGGTTCCCCAGCTGCATTCGGTTTCATTCGTGGCGCTAACTCATCGTCAACAACACAAACGAACTGTAGGACACCAACCAGCACAACAAGGCCTAAAAATGTCTTAATTTCGGTCTAATATTATGGCAGACATTGACATTAATTCATTTTGTTGAATGATCTTTATAGTTTACCTCCGAAAATGTACATTATTGCTGCAAGAAGTGTTTTTGAGCTGCGTTTAATATGACCAATGAGACCGAAATAAAATGCCATGTAACAGATGGTGACACCAATAATATGCATTGAGGTAGGCAGTGCAAGACGCCCTAAAATATATATTCTATGCATATATTTTGTAAAAAAAGCAATTGCTCAAGATCAGATAATTAAAGATGGGTTACAGTGAAACCTTCAATAGCAAGAGTTGCAGAACTAAATTCCGTGAGATCTTTTCCAGTAAGGACTGGATTCCAGTAACACTGATATGCTGCATCTTCACCTGAAAATGAGCAAACAGAAGACAAGGAGCAGTGAAAACATCATGAACATTTCCCTTAAGAATAGAGATAACAACGATAAATTACGATAATTTCCAAGTTAACATCTGTAAGAAAGCATGAGGATTCAAGAATTTCTAACAATGTTGAGTGCTGTGCGAGACTTCAAACGGATATAATTCTAAAGTGACGGAGAGCTTTTTCTCCTGCTCAGATAATCTTTTAAGTTTTATTTACAAAGAATATTTGCAAAGAAGCAATTTGGTTTTCCTTTTTAACTTAAACGGAAGAAAAGGAATTCAATCTACTTGATAAGTATGATTGAACATCTTCAGCAGTTGCGCTGTCTTCTCCTTTATGCTCACGACACATTACAAAATAGCCTGCATTGTAAAGAAATATAGTATCCTGAAAGAAATGCCGAACAATGGTTTTTTGAAACTATATTTCAAACGAAAGTGAGAAGTTATGATAAGACCGAAGATTTTGATCAAAATAAAGGATAAAAGGGACACGATTAAGAGCGAAACTATGTTTCAAGGAACATGACCAGATATGAACCAAAAACATCATAAAAATGATATATGCACCATTAAATCTCCATTTTCATTTGTTTTATTGTATGGTCGTGGTTCAGTAACATATACCCATCCATTTGTTGCCAACGGTATTGATTGTAGAGCGCTAACAAAAAGTCCTAGGAATGAACTAAAGGTCCATAACAGTGAATCTGTACATCGTGCTGCGATCACAACCTAAATAGTAATATTAATAGAATTTTCACATTAAATATTTTCATGAGAAAAAAGGCTCCAACAAGCCTTTAGGATTTGTCGGGAAAATAATCCGCTTCCATTACAGCAATAAATTCTGTGCAAAGGATAAGTGCTGGAAATAACCAGCAAAAAAATTTAATATTGGAGTTGAAAAAGTTGAATCAAAATAAGTCTACTTGTGAAAGGCGTTTTGAAAGTCTCTGTTGACCATGATCAATAGGTCGTTGTGAGAAACCAACATCGTCCAGAAATGCACTTCTTCGAGCATGTTTCATATGCCTAAACGAAATCGCTTTAAAATTTCTTATATAAAATACATTCAAACACGCACACTACTTTGGTGAATTCTAGTTTTATACTTTTTCTTAATTTTTACACCGCAATAAAAAAAGAGCAGTAATTAAATTATGCAAATTTCTAAAGGTATTCAAGCTTGATGATAAACTGAATATGCATATACAGAGAAAGATACTAAGAAATCATGAAATGCCTACAAATGTGACTGGTCCGAATATTCTGAAGAATTAACACAATCATTTATGTTATCATCTCAAAAATGGTGATTACATTCTGAAATAAGAACGTGTTAAAAGATATCAGAAGAACTAATGGTCATTTGATCATCGTCTTTTACGTGCCATTTTCAGATAAAACTAATTAACAAATGTAGAAATGATTAAAATACAGATCAATAGATCAATAGGTGGAAAACGTTAGAAATAAAAAAGCCACAAATATATTGGAATAAGCATTACATGAAGGAAGAATAAGAGGAATAAAACAAGAATTTCAGTTGAATGATTTAAAATGGAGTATAAGTTAGGGAACAGGCTTGATGATAAGCTAAATACAGATATGCAGAGAAAGATATTAGGAAGTATTTATTGCTTTATTACATCAAGTAAAATATCTTACTCTGTATATACTTTAGGGAGCGTTCAATGTAAATACGAAAATATGAAACGGAAGAGAAAGTAGAAAATGAAATTGCAATGGGGAGAGAATGTGCACATTAATTGCATCACCAACCAGTTCCAAGCTTTATCTATCTAATGCCTTGGGAAACCTTTCATAAGTTTTATTTACAATCTACCAATTTGCATTAATTTAATAACAACTCTAATAATAGCATTCAGTAATCACTCATAACATAGTAATGAACAGTCAGTCAATCAGTATACAACGAACAGAAAGATGCAGGTCAATGGACATATGCATAATGTATTAATGATTCTATGTGAGAGATATAAATGCAACTGATTTATTTTTCAACAAGTAGTAAATAATTTAACAAAAAAAAAAAAAAAAAAAAAAAGAAGTTGCTTGAAATGACATCTGAATAAAATGCTGATAATGATGGGTATATTTTTATCCATTTAATTATATTCTTGGAATATTTTCTATTACATATCATATCAAACATAAAATAATACAGAATGATTGTCAATATTTAGTGGGTGCATATGTCGATAATGATTTCATTTTATACTATTTCAAATAACTATAAAATGCAGGAACTCTAAAGATTTAAATCTTAGAGTATTTTAATTGACACTGACATATTGCATTGAAGTATTTTGGAAGGAAAACTTTTGGGAAAAAACATGAGTAGAAGATTAATGGATGTTATCAAGTATAGATGCAATTTTTACGAACACCAATCAAGTATTATTAGCAAAAAAAAAAAAAGATATTGCTGATCGAAAAAGCTTATGAACTCAGCTATAAATGTCCAAAGATATTTCATACAACAAATATATATGAAACTGCTGCTAATATTCATTTCAACAAAAGGTTGTTGTGCCTTTTAGGGATGGATATGGATGTGAATGTATGTTTGTATAGGTCTTTGCATGACTCTGCTGTCATTAGTCCCATTGCCAGTGTCCTAGAAAAGTCGATTTTTCTGGAAGGCAATTTGACTAACTAAAAACCGTGGAAATAGCACTTGAGAGACTACATATACATCCTTCAGAAAGTGCCGTTGTATCATATCCAAGTTTGGCAATTTTTAGATTTCTAAATTTCTAGATCATATAGCAATCTGGAGAATATCAATCAAATATATGCTGCCAATTAAACAATAAATGCCGAAATTAATAATTTTATTTTAAAGCTGATTCTTGTCAGTAACACTTCGCATTTGTCATTGAAGAAGCGTAAAACGTGATGAATATTGAAAATGGAAGCTTGAAAAAAAAATCACGAAAAGCTTTGTTTTTTCAAAGTGATGCTCACGATATCACCAGAGCTTTCTGATTTTATATCTGACCTATCCTCTCAGCATCATTCTTTTATGTATATAGACAGTTGCTTTACATATTACTGATGTGCAGAAGCTATTTTCTTATAATTGTTAAAAAATGCTAAAAAATTAAAATCCTTTCAGACTCTGCTTAGTTACGCTTTGCTATGAGTCAGGTCTACATTTTTCCAGAAAAAAAACAAACAAAATGAATAAAGATAGATGGCGCGCTTTGCTAGGCATTGATTACACAGCAAATTATTTTTAAAATATTAAACTTTCTCGCTTTCATTTTTCTATCTTAGGAAACAAATGAAAATGGAAGAAAAAGGAAATGGAAAAAAGAATTTTATACAATTCATTGCTTTCTTTTTCTACTTTTTCTTTACAATAAGTGCGCAACATTTTAGCATAAGAATGTTACAAGCTTTTCGAAAATGCCGTTTCCGGCGGATGATGCTGTGATATTTTGCCTTCTTCAGTAAAATGTCTTCCTTTTTTGTAAGCAAAAAATTGCTTACAAAAAGCGTTTTTCTCTTGATAAGTATTATTTCTTCAAAGTTGAGGCATGGAAAAAATGAATTCGCTAATATTAATGCTACTGTTTGCCGATTCGACTGCTTGGACACGTAAGTTATGCTTGACTAATTAACCTAACCAATTCGTTTAAACATTATGAAATGAGTTCAGTGAATCTAGACTTATCAAGAAAAAAGCAGGCTTTACCTTCTTCACAGTGCGTACTTAATTTCTGGACTTCAAAGCTCATTACATCATCAACAGATTCAGATTATGCTTTTGACGAGAAACATTATGTTATACCTTAGTTTACTTTTCATTTATATTTCTTATCAGCACAATCGAGATTGGAAGTTCTTTAAAATTTTAAAACAAGGGTGATATTCATTTAATGTTCAAGACAGTTCGATGTTTTGGGCATTCATTGCATTTCATTTTAATTATTGTCGCTTAAAATTATTATATTTGTATCAATGGGCATTTACAATATAGATGTAATAATTTTTTTTAACATGCATAAAATTTCGTTGTCAGTCTTTTCACTTCAGTTATATAATAAAATCACCAGGATATTGCTATTGTAATAAAGTTTCTCATGTCGAGGGAATTGATACAGAAGGAAGGCATTACTTCAATAATCATTAGCGATAAAATATCACAATAAACTATAGTCACAACAAAAAGGAATCAGAACAATGCAGAATTTTACGAAGCAACTATAAGCGATGATATATGAGAGAAGACCGTATCAGTAAGATAGATGACATGTCGTTCTCCATAATTCCAAGCCCGAGAGAATCTGAGTACTATATAGAAATTTTCTAGATTTTCCATTGATTTTACCATCGGCGTGTTAGCAGGTAAAGACATATCTCACTTCCTCTTATTGATTTTCACGGATGGAATTGTGCACCACGAAAGTTCTGAAGAGAATCCGGTTCTACTGGTTGATAGTTATCGAATTATCGATTCACAAGTTTTTCATTATTGGAAATACTAATGACCTCATTCCAATTAGAAAAGTATCATTACGGATAGAAAGTAACCCACTAATACAAATGGTTTATCGTCTTTTTTATCAAATGATTCCGATCATATGACCAGGCTACAAGCTGAAATTTGCTGATAAAGCAGTGGGCCCAAAAATGTAGTTAAAATTGAATTGATAAAACTTTTTCTCAAGCATTGAAAAAAAAGTGTATTTCTAACTCAATAACAAATTCTTATATTTTATAAATTGTAATTTCTGCACATATTTGATGCTAGAACGCTTTAAAAATACTACTGAAAGAATAAAATGTCAGTATAATACTGTTATCCTTTGAATATCTGCTGCATATTTTTCAGTTTTAATGTATCTATATTATCTCAAGTTTTTTGAGGTCTGAAATTCGTCAAATCAGGAAGTGAAAGACTACAACAAAATGTTATGGATAGGACAGGTACTTCTCCAATCACTTATCACAACACGAGTTTCTTCAATAGTAACCATAACTTTTTCTGTACATAGCTATTTTTCATTCACAATCACAAAACTTATTTTAAAGAGTTACAGTCTTTCAGCATGCAACCATCACAATTGTCTGAAAAATCGGAAATTTTTACTAACAATGATGCAATCGCCACTTCGAATAATAAATATCGCTGTGGATCCACCAGTAAATATTCTTATTAGGAATAGCGATGGTGAGATCATTCAATTATTGTGAATGCAATGACCAAAGATGAAAGTAAATAATAATGATGTGCAATCAGTACAATGTGTAACAAAGAGTGGAAATATTATTTTATTGTAGTAACAGTGATTTACGTAAAAATTGCAGGTATTAAATACTCTTTTCAATGTTTTTAGAGTGCAAGTACAACGAAGATTGCAAGGATGAAAATTTTTGTTGGAATGGATATTGTATGCCGCGAGGTAATCCTGGTGAGATTTTGCACTAACTCACTGAAAATTTGTATAATTCATATGATCAACTAGCATTTGAATTCTTATGACAATATTCATGTAAACATCTCAAAAAGAAATTACTGAGTTCTGTTGAGATGACTGAAGAATGTGAAATTACTTGCAAATATGTTTAGGAGATTCTTGCCTATCAGACGATCAATGTTCCTCAGGACTGATGTGTTCAAACCAAACTGGATCAAATGATGGAATATGCATTTCCCATTTGACAGAAAAAAACATCAAAAACGTTAGCGACAAATCAGGGATGAATTGGATTCCTAAGGATCAAGTGATTAAAACTAATGCAAAAATGGAAAAAAAGTTGGAAACAATTTTTACACACAAGGATGAAGGTGACATTAAAAACAGAACATCAAGCGAGTTGACATCAAATTTCATGGATGGGACTATGATAGTAGGAAAAAACAATATGACAGAGTATTTATTACCTATTACAGGAATAAATACTTTTGGCGGAATGATGGGGGAATTCTCTTCACTCTCCATTACAACGGACGGCACTTTGAACACAATAAAAGCTCCTTCATCTCCTGAGACAGAAATCACAACCGAGGGTACATTATCAACGTTTCCTTCATTTTCCGCGGCAGAAATTACCACTGAAGACTCATTATCAATGTCGCTTTCATCTCCTGAGACAGAAATCACAACCGAGGGTACATTATCAACGTTTCCTTCATTTTCCGCGGCAGAAATTACCACTGAAGACTCATTATCAATGTCGCTTTCATCTCCTGAGACAGAAATCACAACCGACAATACATTATTAACGTTTCCATCGATAGAAATTACAGCTCAAAACTCATTATCTCGTGTGACAGAAATTATCACTGATAATGCATCAGCCACAAAATCTTCTTCATCTCCTATGTCAGAAGATAGCATTGAGGATGCAGTAATGGGACCTTCGTCCTTCTCAACAGAAAATAGTGGTGAAGGTAAAACTACAGTTAAGTTTGCTTTTACCGCTACGATTGGAAAGAGCAACATAAGTGAAGCCGAAAAAGATATTCCTACGGTTCCCTCGAATCAGTCTGATGTCACTAACATGAATACTGTTGACTCACACAGAGGAATTCTTTTTGAAGTCGAAAACAATTCAAAGAGTTATTCCGAGATCGCTGATATGATAAGCTCTTATTCATCGCATCCTTCAAATGATTCATCCACAACTGCTTTAAACACAACGGACATTTCAACTTATTTGCTGCCGCAACCACAATGTAAATCCAACATTTAAAAGTTGTTGAAAAAAAGGAAAAGAAAACAACATATTTTTACTGTTAAATGTAACTTTACACGAATGACCTTCAACCCATAAAACTCATAACTTTGTAATATATATTATATATTACAAATGGAGATATTGTTTTAATTATATTTCTTAAATTTGTTTATAAACATAATACATAAAAATACTTTGTAGATTGGTGTGACGATGGCTGGAAACTTTTTCGGGGTCGGTGTTACATTCAGGTAACTGTTAAAGTTTGTCAAACTACTTTTTTACAACTTAATGCATCAAATGAGGAAGAAGTAAGTATTACAGGGTCCAGCTATTTTCAATTTATTTGTTTAGATGAATGACGGCAATTACACATATCATGAAGCTAAAAAGAAGTGTATGAATATGGGAGCGCTGTTAGTGGCTATCGTTAATGAAGATGTCACAGGATTTTTGTATTGCAAGTTTCCCTTCACATTTTTTAATTTCAATCCTCAATTAACAATAGAACTATTTCTAGCTCCTTTATAGTTTTGGAAGTAACCATTGCAGTGATTACAGTTTTTTTATTATTAGAAACAACAACGCCAATGGTGTGTTCCATTTGTTACAGTTTTTCAGCTAATTTCTACTTCAAGCATCCATTTTGGATTGGTCTTTCGAACGATGGCAAAGGATGGAAATGGTCAGATGGCACAAAATTGAAGTATCAGTTGTGGGGTAAGAATGAACCGAATACAATATACTCTTGTGTATTTGCGGAAACCGAAAAGAATGGAAGAAATTGGTACACAGCTAATTGCGATGACACAATCCTTCATGATAGCGTAATTGGCTGCGTATGTCAGCAATAATTATTTGCTTGAAACAACCATGTTTAAAGCAAATATATAAAGATATGTACAAATATCTTTAAAATATTATTAATAAATATACTATATTCCTAATTAGATTCCATGGTGCTTGGATATATTTCCTGAAACAAATAAGATAGATAATTATGCGTTCAACAAACAAATAATATAACATCCTACCGTTTTGACACACAATCCTGATCATGATTTTATTCCAATACATAATGCTTATACTGAAAGCTTTGTTATGATGCTGTTGGTGAGTGGAATAGCAAGAAATAACACAAAAGATGAGAAATCAATGAAGATTGGATTAGGCCATGGTTAGGCCTGCATAAATGACTGTTATTAAAGGAGGAAGATCCAAAGAAAGGGAAGCATTTTCCATGCATAATGTGCTTTACTCCAATAATTATAATATCTAATACATACGTATTTGTCGTTTATTCAGACTGTTAAACAGTTTCCAGCAAATCCTTCATCTGTTATGTGAGGACTTATAACTTCTTCTTCTTGCTTCTATATTTTTTCACTGGTCAACGAAACTTTTAATAAAAGTATTTCAAAATTAACCTTCTCCATTCTCCCATGTGACTATTGTAATTTAACAGTTCGTCAATTGCTATCAAATTTCATTTTTATAGTTATTCCTCTTTACATCAAAATCCGTAATTTTGGAGTTGATTGGTAAAATGACAGAATTATTTTATTATGTAATAATCAGAAATGTGCTAACGAACAAATCCTTTCCCTCGAAGATATTGTGTCAAACATTTTAATGACATGTGTAAAAAGTTGATGATACATGAAGTAGATAAAATATCGAATTTTGTGGATAGTTTTTAGGTTGTTGGGAACAATTTTTTGTATTTCTATGTTTTCTTTTATATTTTACTTTTTTCAGAGTTCTATAATCAAAATTGAGCTATGCTTTTGTTACTTACTCTTTCATTTATCAACAAGCTAGTTTCAATGACCAGAAGTAGCTTTGCGGAACTAGAAGGTCAGCTACATCAAGATCTGTTGTATGGTTATAACAAAATACCGCGTCCAATTAAAAACAGCACCGATGTCCTTACAGTAAATTTGGGCGCATCATTAATCCGAATCATTGACGTGGTGAGTAAATTGAAAGGCAGTCAGTGTTGTTGTTTCAATATCGTTTATTCTATTCAATAGTGATTTCCCTTTCAGGATGAAAAGAATCAAATTCTGACGACAAACTTATGGCTTGAGATGGTAATTTCTTTTCTCTATGTAGTTCATCTCAAATTTTCCCATTTGTTATTGGGAATAAAAGATTAATTTGTTATTCTTCTCCTTTCTGAAAATGCACTTTTAATTATGATTTCAGCAATGGAACGATTCCAAATTAACTTGGGATCCATCGAAATACGGTGGTATCACAGCGTTGCATATTCCCAGCGATCAGATTTGGACTCCTGATCTTGTATTATACAATAAGTGCGAGTTGTATTACGTTGTCACCGGGAAAGATGCTATTAAAATTAATCAAATTTTACTTATGGACTTAACAAATTCATTTTTTTATAGTGCAGCAGGTGATCCAGATATAACGACTTCCACGGATGCTCTTGTTGCTTATGATGGACGAGTTCTGTGGCAGCCGCCAGCCATTTACAAATCTTTTTGCCCGGTAAGTTTTCTTAGTCAAATCAAAAAACAAATCAGTTAATCCTGTTATTGCTTCCGTTATTTGGAAACATTCAGATCGATGTAACTTGGTTTCCATATGATTCACAGCATTGCGAGATGAAATTTGGCGCGTGGTCTTATACCGGTTATTATGTTGATTTAAAGCAGCTTCCACAAGGTTCATCATTTTATTCACAAAATAATTATCTTTTTGAACTTAAATTTGCTTACTATTTGTTTTGTAAATGAACAGTTATTTGCCCTTTTACAGATCAAGTAATGAATGGGATAGACATATATGGGCAAGACGTTGAAACAATGAAAATAGGAATGGATCTCAGTTTCTTTTATCAGTAATCATTCTATTATCATTATACATTATAGCATTGAATTATAGAAACTGTTATCAGTGTTATATTAGGAATGGATTCTATACAAAGCACTTTTGTAAGCGATTTATTAAAATTAACTAATTAGCAATCTCTCTCGATTACTAAGTTTACCCTCATTATAATAGAAGGTTAAAATGTGGAAAAAATTTACAAAATTTCCTTAAAATTTAAAACAAAGTTAAGAAAGACTATTTAGATCTGCGGAATGGGATCTGTTATCATTATCATCAGCTCGACATTCTGTTTTTTATATAAGTTGTTGTGGTCCGGAAAAATATGTTGATATTACCTATTATTTTGTACTTCATCGGAAAACACTTTTCTTCACTTGCAACCTGATTGTGCCATGCTTTCTAATATCTCTCCTTACTACTATTGTTTTTTATTTAACTGACCACAAAATAACGTTTTCAATATCTATCTTGGTTATGCTAACAGTTTTCTTTTTGGTGAGTTACTCTTTGTTACATACTCAAGTTTGTGAAATATTTGTTATTTGGACAACTGTTGTTTGAAAAAACAAAACACCTCACGTTTCAATCAGTTTTATTACTATTAACTTTTCACGACCTAACACGTCCAGTTCCATTTCCGTTAAAGTCTGACACGTTGCTAAGCTCTGCTAGTATATAAAAGAAACTTAACAGATTTAGCAAGATATTTTTCTATCATTTCTTAATGTCTGTTGGTATAAAAGTCATAATTATGCTTCAAAAACACATGCTTCTGATAAGTTTTTTTCAAATCATCCTATTTTATCTCCCAAATTTTTTCTTACCTAAACAAAAATGATTTTTGTTATCTAATCGGTACTTAAACACAAGAACATTTTTGTTCTCCGTCCTAAATTATAAAATACAATTATCATTTAAGTAAGAAATGTTACCAAAAATCAATTTGTAATTCCTATTCTAAAAGATGAGATCATATTAATTCTAAAATTTCTATCAGATTGCTCTATGCGAGCTGTTTTGTTATTTCTGCGCCAGTGTTTTTTGGTCATGATAGCGTTTGAAGGTTTTAATCGACATAATACCGCCAACTTCACTAGTAATACCCATGTTTGGGCGATATTTGATCACAACAATGATACTCGTTTCACTATCAACAGTCATTTCCGTTATCACTGTAAATTTTCGTTTCCGAAGTGGATCTGCTTATCGTATGTCACCCTGGATACGCAAGCTATTCCTTCATTTCTTGCCAAAGTAACATTTTTATATAACTTTTTCTTGTTGGATATTGCTTTTGGCGCAAATAGTACCTGAATAAGATATAAATGTGACTTAATTTGTATGTTAAGTAAAGCTCTTATCATTTATTTAAGTAATTCATGGTTCCATAAATTCCATCTTTTACTTACTGTTAGAATTGAAAGGCAATTAAGTAGTATTAGAAGATAAAGATCTATAAGAATCAAATTTTCAAGTAAAAAACTACTACTTATTAACTAGTCAGTCCAAACTATCAATTTTTCCACTAGTATTGGACTAACCAGTGTGACTTGTCATACCGCATAATAAATTTTTTCCGAAGATTTATGTGCAATCAGTAGGCACTAAAGGGCTGGAAGAGATAGAGTTGTGAAGGCAAACACGAAGTCCTAATAAAATGATTTATCATATTAAAGTACCTACACATTCGTATTTCAGAATATTGTTTATGGAACGGAACATACCTAAGAGAAAAACTGAAACATCGAAGAATAAATTAGTTGACGCTGTATCGCTAGTAAGGCAAAGGATCTTACCGAATGAGCTATATTGTTTCACAGTGCACGAAAGTAATCTGTAAATTTGTTACACTTTGTAATAAATGAATACTTAAGATAATAGCTTAAATTGTTATTATCATGACCTTTTAAGAGCGACTGATTTACTTTTAAAATCCTCTTTAGATTAAGTTCGGAAAAATTATGCAGCGAGGAAGGTTTACATTTTAACAGCTTTAATGATAAAGGAACACTTGAAATAATTTCAGGAAAAGATATATTCTGGAAATTTTATCTGCCGTCATCAAAATCTCATTCTGATCCTTGCTCAAGTTATGGAGAAAAGAGTGCCGGACATTCTGCTTTCAACAAAAATTTTATTTATGGGGATAACGAGTGGACAGTTTGTTTTTCTAGATTTCTCTTTGCTGCAGTGAAATTCGAAGATTCTAATTTAAAAGACTAATTTTTCATGAGATTGAAGACGATAAGGATTTCATCCACCAGCACCATAATTTAAACGAATTTGAAAGGAGCTTGAGTTATGAGAGGAATAGCATTTCGAAACTATTACAACAAATCCAATTTATTGCTGACCATTTTCGGATAAATAAGGAGGAAGCTGAGGTTTTTGCTTCTATTTTCATTTTGTTTGTTATAAAAGTCATGCAGTGATTTTATGGATATCAAGACTAAGTTTCTTTACATAAAATGCTTGGTTTCTGATGGCTCATGATTGAGTTTTGAAATCTCGATTTGATATTGGTATGGCATGGCAATCTCATTTACAATCTCCAATCTTTTTAAGACCATAAAATGTACGAAATTCGAAACTGCAAATGCCAGGAAATGTCCAATATTTTCTTACAGATATCTGACGAATGGATCTTTGCGGCAATGATACTTGATCGATTATTCCTAATACTCTTTTCCGTTCTAAACGTTGGTACTCTTCTGATACTCTTAGAAGCGCCATCACTTTACGATACCAGATCACCTATGAATATTACTCATGCTACAAAGCCACTTGGACAAGGAAGTTTTCCTTTACCAACCACTAATTATTTTAATTGATAATATGATTTGACTTCACCAGATAAATAATATTTATTATATCTCTATCGTTAATTGTAATAGTAGTAGGGCTCTGATAATAGTAACTCTCACGAAATGAGATTGCTGTCAAAACAATTTTGTTGATTTTACGTAAGAAATGTAGTGAAGGAAGCCTTTAAATAATG